TATTGGAAGGAGATGAGTTTTTATGAAGATTTGGTGTAGAAAGTGAATAAAATGGTTAGGTATTTATAGGGAAAAAATACAGAATTTTTTGGTATTTAAAAAAAAAAATTCAGAATTTTTCAGAATTTTTTCGAATTTTTTTGGCAAAAAAAAAAAAAAAATCTGTTTTACTGTGCGCTGACGTCAGCGTGACGCCAGCCAACTCGGGCTTCAGCCCGGGCAAGACTTGCCCTTGGGCTTGCTCGGGCACGTGGGACCCACCACCAAACCGGGCTACGGGCCCTGCGCTGGAGTGAACTCGGGCTGCGTCGGGCAGCCTTTCCCCCCTAGCCCGACCTGCGCTGGAGATGCTCTTACAATCACTGATTTCCAATTAAATGGAAAATGCTAACATTTAATAAGACCATGATAAGCAACAGTTTTCCCGTTACTTTTAAACAACTCACTTGACAAAATTTCAAAGGGGAAGGATGATTAGCCAATGACTTTTAAACAACTCACGTGGCAAAGTTTCAAAAAACGAGGATGGATGATTAGCGAGTATGACTGGTAAGGCACTCATTTTGATAGATAAAATCTCCCACCAGACACTCCTTTTTTTCGGTTGAATGAACGCTCATAAGCAAATCCCAACATGCTGAATTTTAGCTCCATCCAACTCGAGGTAGCCATTGCAACTATTTATTGGGTTGCAAGCTTTAGGATGTCATCTAGAATGAGAATTAAGATTAAAAATAATTTTTTTTGAGTTTACTCCAACATCTCAAATGCAGAATAAGAACAAATATCAAATGAATAACAAAATATTGATTAGAGGTTGAAAAATAGATAAACATTGATATGGTTCAATGAAGTTCTACTCATCGCAAATTTTAAATTGGGACAAACTGAGTGACAGAATTAGTAGCATTCGAAATGGATGAGACAAAATTAGAAAAATCATGCTTTAGTTAGGCCGCTGAGAATTTGCACAAGTTATGTGATCCTAAAATGCATGCGTCTGGGGCTGTGGTAGTTACAAATACCATGTCAAATTAAAATGACTTGGAAGTTTTCGTTTCTTCTCAAAATTTACATTATTGACTTTGTTGAGGTTCAAAAAGTTACGACAAGCCCAAAAGCATTTAAAGTTCAATATGACGAACGAAATAGGGGATAAATTGGTCACGTATTAATTCGAATTATATTTTCGGAAATTAATTTGACAAAATAAATATGTACGCAAGCTTTTATACAAATTCTAATAGCATCCATGTCATGCCAAAAATCTATTCCTTTAATTCCGATATGTCACTAAGCTCGATCACAAAAGCCCAAGTCATTGTAACAAAAGCCCAAGCATTCCAAGCACATGCCAAATAACTTCATGTCACACTAATACATTTTTCCTATGCCAATCACCCACCAAACTCACATGAACCTAAGTCATGGTTTACGAGACTTGCACGAGGGATTGTGGTGTGGAAGGTTATAGAAGTCCACAAGGCCTATGAAAGCTCTTGGAATGAGACTTTGGGCTAGCTACTTGGGAGCACCAAAGTACAAGCCCATTACTTGGACTTCTCCAATGTGGATGAGCAAATGAGATATTCTTCAAGCACTCCCTATTACTCGCTAGAAACAAGCCAATTTCGACACTTCCTTTTACCCATAGGAAATAGTCATTTTTCAATGTCTAACTTTACTTGCTGGAAATAAGAATGTCCCAATACTCCCTATTACTCGCTAGAAACAAGCCAATTCCAACACTTACTTTTACCCATAGGAAATAGTAATTTTCCAATGTCTAGCTTTACCTGCTAGAAATAAGAAGGACATGACCCGCCCCAAATTCCTCGAAATCCGTGACGGATCCTGTGGTTTTGGATGTCGGCCCACTTGCTAACATCCTAGCCTCTCTTCCAAATCAAAGGAGGAGAGGGTCGAGACTTTCTGCCGAAATTTCGGCATAGTCTCCCCTAAAAAATGAACTTAATGATAAGTTCATAAATATACTCATTTATGTACTCTTTTTACTTAGGTTTTGAAGGAGAATTAGATTTAAAAGGGGCTTATTACTTTACTTTTCTGATTTTCAGCTTTTCTGTGCTCTTAGAAGGTTTTTAAGGGAAAATTAACTTTTCAGAGGAATTTTAGCACAAGGCCAATTGGAGATAAAAGCTAACATCTTGAGGTTCAATCTATGATTTTTGTAGAATTTTCTACCGAGCCAATTGGTACAAAATTACAAGTAAATTTAGCCCCAATGCAGATATGATAGTTTCGTACATGTTACGTGAATGTGAAGAAACGGAAGCCTTCCCGAATTTTTCAAGTTACGTGCTATATATGGTTGGAAAGATAAGACATTTATCTTTCTAAAATATATTTTTAATTATTTTTCTAGAAGGCCGAAGATCCCCAAATTATGTGACAATTGGGCTGAGCTGTATTTCCCTGTGGAGTTAGGAATTGTGATTTTTACTTTCCTATTTGGATTCCTTGTTTACCAAGACTTCTTGGACGACTTTTCAGTCAATATTAGGGTTTAGAACTCTGATATAAGTGATAGAAAAGGCCAACCAAGGCCCCCATACAAAGGATTCACGTCCTAAGGAGATCAACCGCTCAAGAGAAGAAAGCTGCCAACGAGTTCTTTCTTTTCCTTTCTTCTTTTAATTTTCAGTTCTTATGTATTTATTTTTGAGTTCATCCAAGAACATGAGTATCTAATTTCTTGTTAGTTAGGGCTTAATCTTGAAGCCCTAAACATGATTTCAATTCTATATACAAGTTTGAATGGATTTTTCAGTTTTTACAAGCGTGATGATTTCGGTTTCTCTATGTTATGTGAATTCTGATATTTTGTTTCTTTGAGTAGCTAACTTTGAAGCATGTATTGGAATTAAATTGTTGTAGAACGTAGGTCAATTGCCATATTGAATGTGTTCTTGTTTGCAATGAATAATTGGGTTAAGAACTAGTTATGAGAAATCGATTCTTGAATTCCTAATAACAAATGCCATGTTTTAGGGTTTTTGTGACACTCATATTCTCTTTTATCTTAATAGATTCTTGATTGTTAATTTGAGTAAATGTCATACTAGATTTCAATTAAGAATACACATATTGATGTAAATGTCATACACTTTACATACACTTAAGAGATAATCATACAACTTGAGTCAAATGACATTGTTGTGAGCGTCGTCATCATATGCTTGCTAGAAATTGATTATCTATTGTTTATAGATTGATTGATTGTTTGGAGGTGGATAGTGAGTCCTAGCTATTGTTCTTGATTGATTCTAAACCAATTTCCCTTAAACTCTAATTTAAATTATGTTTTGTTTTATTCACAAAATCAAATCAAAACCCCCCTTGGTGTTCGCGTGTGTGTGGAAGTCCTTGTGTTTTAATTTTCGTTGCGTGACATTGATAAACATCTCTTTAGATTACAATCTCTGTGGGAATGACCCTTGCTTGCTTACTATACTATCATTTGATTTGTGCACTTGCAAGGTTTTAATATTGTTGTTAAAAATTACCAACACTTAACCAAAATTTTCAACATGTTAAAACGCAGTTTAAAATTCCCGAACCTCATCATGCACAGTCATAAGTAGTTGTAAAGACTCCACCCACAATCATTCATCAATCTAAAACAGGTTTCTGCTCCGTCACAACCACAAACCAAATTAAAGTCCAAAAATATGGTTTATCTTGCGACTGCACCTAGGTGAGACCCTAGGCTACCAATGTACCCTTACTGAGGGATCAAGCCGCACTTAATTCTTCGATCAATAGTCATGAATCACATAACATACAATTATTTTCAGTAATATCAACAAGTTAATTTTAGGATCATCTTTTCCTTCTTAATAAAATTACAATATGCTAAGCCTCATTCTTTAAACATTACTCTTTTTTCCCGATATAATATAATAATCCCTTTTCCTCTCCCCGTTACTTTACTACACGTCGGAGAGTCCAACGCCACGTGTAGTAAAGGAACAGTAATCAATATATCCGAATCCTTTACCACACGTCGGAATAATTCAATGCCACGTGTAGCCTACAAACCAAGTGAGCCCACACACTGGAAAATCCAACGCCACGTGTGGGTAAATCAACCAATATCAAATGTGTCCGGGTTCTTTACCACACGCCGGAAAATCTAACGCCACGTGTGGGTATAGTAGCCAGGGAAAGTACATACGAGGGTGAGGTTTATAACCCTTATATAAATATTATAAAA